GTTGGGCCATCTATTGGAGCCTCCACAAAAGCGACCATCTCTAGCTCCTCATCGTCTTGTTTTATGGCCACCACGGCCGCGTCGTGGACCGACTCCTGGCCGAGGATTGCATGCTCCACCTCCGCCAACTCAATCCGGTGGCCGCGGATTTTGATCTGCCGGTCCATGCGCCCGAAGAACTCTATCTGACGATCCTTCGGCCGGCAGCGTGCGCGATCCCCTGTGCGATACGCCCTCACTTCCTGGCCGTCGATGGTGACATCTATAAAGCGATCCTTGTCCAATGCCGGGTCGGTGTATCCTCGAGCGAGACCGTCTCCTGTGACGACCAACTCTCCCATCACCCCGGGCGGGACGAGTTGTTGCCGCTGATCCATGATGTAAGCTCCAGAGTTGCTGACAGCATGTCCGATCGGCACTCCATTCATGAATTCTTGACGTTCAGTGATGTTGTAAATGGTGCTAATAACAGTGTTTTCTGTTGGGCCGTAGGCATTGTAAACGCAACCTGGAAGCAGCCTTTGCGCTTCTATTGCATCCCGGACGTCAAGCCGATCCCCACCAACAAAGAGGACATCGAGTGAGCTGATGGAATTAGGTATATCACCCAGGTATTGCTTCAGCAGTGCGGGTGAAAGCATGGCCACGCGGACCTTCTCCAGACCGAGGATAGAAGCGACCCGTTGACTGTCCAAAATCGTTGCGTAGTCAATACAGACCACAGTCCCGCCATTTAGCAGTGCCGCATATATCTCCCACACCGACGCATCGAATGAGGTGTTTGACAAATGGGCCACGGAGGGTGCTTGTGGGAGCATGCGCACAACATTGCTCCCCTTCACTAGCCGGACGATTCCCCGGTGCTCCACCATAACACCCTTGGGTTTGCCTGTCGATCCTGACGTGAACATAACATATGCCAGGCCTGTTGCGCCAGGCCGCATAGTTGGGGTTATGGGATCATGTAGGGCTCGCTGGTCCAGTGTGTCGCCACCCAGAGTATCGCCGATGCGTACCAGTTCTAGGTCAGGCGACTGTAGTACCGGAGGAGGCACGTCAGGCCCGAGGAAGACCAGTTTGAGACCCTCAACGGCCGCCAATATTGC